AAATGTATAAAATGTAGCTATTATTTAGTTAAATTCAAACTGAGCTAAGCTGTACAAAAATGGCAAATAAAATGTGTGATTTTACTTTTGATTAAGAGAACAGAACGATATTCTGAATAATAACATGCTTTTCCATCAGGCTAATAAAACAGTCCACGCCAGGCATTTTAACAGCTAAGCAACCTACCACCACAACAGCCATCAGACCCGGTACCAGTCTAGCCAAAACCTAGATGAACTGATCCAATACAACCATGTACAAGTCGCTCAATAAAAGGTGAAATTCAGTCGAGTGCTACTCTGTAAATGAAGCCCACCCAGACCAGCCTGCATTGATCAGCAAAGCGAGATGCGGCATCCCAGATGCTCTCGGTCTTGTAAAGGCGTTAGCTGCTGCACCAGCATTTCTAGAGAGTTCCCCACCTCTTACACCAGCTGGGAATTCGTACATTCCCTTAGAGACGCCCAGGGAACTTCGAAGCCGCAATGCCGGTGCCATCGCATCCAGTTCCTTCTGTTACACCAAAGGACCTCCAGAACCAGACAGTGTCTTACATGCCACATTTCTGGCAGTTTCCAGCCACCTCACAACGATACGGCGCTCCAGGGGAGCTTTCTGTAACCTCAGTTACCTCAGTCACTTGTGGGAGCTGGAAGAAGAAGCTATACAAAGAAACCTTCACGAAAATGTTCTGAGGGCAGAAGGAAAAACGATTGGTTCAGAGAGATAACCAAACAGATTGTATAGGAGGTGGGTCCAAGCAGCTAGAGGAGGCAGGATCAACCAATCAGATGCTTCGGTCCCACCTTTCCGTTACTTTAGGCACCTCAGTCACAGGAGGCAGAGGCTGTACAAAGAACCAGATAATGGAGACACCAAGGTGATGTATTGAAGGCGTCCTATCCAGAGTAATTGGACGACTACGGCACACCGACTCCAGAAGCTGCACAAGATGACTAATCATAGATGATGGCCATATTATAACCAATATGCACCATAAAAACAAAATTAAGTTATAACTCTAATTAAAACCTATTACTCAAGAATAACCCAAGAATACCAAAACCATTTGAGGCCTCCATAAATACCTGATAGACTAGCCGTAAAAATTCAACCATCCCCGAGGCAGAGAAATAAAAACAGGCGAAGAAAATTGACCCATGCCAAGTGTTAGTGCGGGCATTTCGCGAAGAAAGCAAGGGTGAATCTCAATATGCGTACTTGTCGGTACTTGTGCACCTTGTTACATCATCTTCCAGTGACAAAGACCAGTTCCAATACTAAGAATACACGAGTACATGAGGATGGTAAAAATTCCCGGATGTTGGTCTTGTGTCCCCCCCCCCCCAAATACCAAGGATACATCGGTTGCATCCTTGCCAAACATAATTGAAATTGATTTATTGCTCCCCAAGTTTATTGCTCCCCAAGTTCATTCTTGGAAGGCAAGTTATCAAGACCAGTCCTGCCAAGACCACAAGTACGGCCTTTGCGTTCTTGGTGTTGAATGTTTGGGCATCAGACATGTGTGAGGTCACTGCAGTTAGTGGGTCCTCCGAGTCGAACAACATTTCAAGTGGGTAGGCAATTAATTACGGCCCCTTGAAAGCTGTAACATCAGGCTGGATGACTAATGTTATCATCAGACAGGTGCCAAAGGCCGTGGCCCCCACATGGCCCAGGTGACAGGCGGGACCTTCCTCCAACTCAGCTTCAGCTGCCGACGTTCTGGGACTCGCCAACTGTGTGAAGCACTGAAGCGGTGAAGCGGAGGCAGAAATGCTACTGAAGAATAAAAAAGATAAGCTGATAAATGAAAACGTAATTTCCTTTTTTCTCCGTTTGATGAACTCAGATCTTAATACCAAGACACAAATTATATTTCAAACAGTTTTTATGTTCTTGCTCATTTCCCTTTTTTAGTTTTTTTTCTCTCTCAGGATTGAACATCAAATTGTCCTTGTTATTACCATGACCTACAATGAGAGCACTCGTCGTCAGCCGTAATGGAAATATTAACTGAATTTCTCTGTCACGAATTTCTTAGAGGAATCGGTTGTCTGTTAAACCCTGACCCAGCGTTCGACGTCTGGAGTCTCGCTTTCGGTTTCTGCCAGGATCTGAGGTACTCTAAGAGAGCACCATTACCAGTTTGGTGCTTAAGCATCTGATCAGCTAAAAGGACTTCGGGCATTTTGGGAAGAAAAATCTAATTAACTCAGCATAGCAGGTCTCGTCTCGGGTGCCCACATCCTAGAGAGGATCCACGCAGAGGGCTGCGTGAGCTGAAAAGTGTGAAACAATATAACTTACACAGTATAAAACTTCTCCAAGCAATGAGAAGAAACCTTTGCGAACAGCAGACTGGTTTCCAGTACATTCATCTAAGGCCAACTAGCTCCCTAATACTAGAAGGACTGTCACTGAACAAAACCCCAGTATGACAACTTAAATATATTAACAGAAATGCATTCTGGGTACAGTGATGTACAAAGCCCTAAATGCTTTGCAAACATATTCGAAAAGTACAATATACTAAACCTAAATACACCGAACGGCTGACTGCGGGCATTATGACAAGCTGAAGATATGCTCAGGGGAAGGAATTAGAATTTCATTTAATTTATTTTCATAATATTCCTCGCAGTCTGGAAAGGCCAATTAATCCCGTCATAAGTCTCACTCTCAATGCGCAGCACCCACGGCAACTGCGGAGTGGTGAAGGCTGCTATCACCTACCGCTAATGCTCACTTTCAATACACGTGGTCCACCACTGACCCCCCCCCCCAATAAATCTACAGGCATCATATCAAGCACATAAGACCGTTAGAGCCGCTGTTCCGCCCACAGAACTGAAGGTGGTGAGCTGACAGCAGACGACACCACGAGATTGGGAGAGGGGCCTAGTCTGTACCCCACCAAAACCAGAGCCTGTATGGCAGTCTCCGGACTTCCCTCTCACAGATGGCGATCGAACGTGCAGGACTGAACATGGCAGCATGGCGGCGGGGTGCACCGTACTTTGATTAATGCGCCGCCAAGAGTAATTCTGTTTCTATTAATTATTACTTGAGGAAAAAAAATAAAGACTGGATCCAACAGCTCACTCTGAAACCAGGAGAAAATACACTATAAAACAGTGTTGTGACCTTGCCATCTGATCTATGATTTGTAGACAAAAGTTTGAGATGTGCAGATTCCAAAGATTTATACATTTTATATCTACCTGATATGCACGCTTTTTACACATCATTTTATGTAGCAGCAAAGGTACCAAACCAACAGGTTAAGCACCCTATACCAGCTAGAGACAGAAACTCCCAGACTGGTAATCAAAGACACAACCTCCTCTTCCGGTGCTCAGTACAGTGATAATCACTGTAATAAGTGCCACCAGCTGTAATACCAGCTGTAACTGCTGTCTGTGGCACCTTACCTCTCTCTGGCCCCCACAGGGTATGAGTCACTGATGCATGGTGCAGCCCCATCGCCGAGGTGGGTTCTGATGTTAGGGACTCAACGGGAACCTTGGCCAGGTCCACCTCAGCGTGGGTCCGACTCTGCTTTGAGAGCCATCTGCAGAATGGATGTCACAGACCCCGCCCAGCCGTGCACAGATTTACCTAACGGGCACGGCGGAGCGACTTAAATCCGGAATCTCCCCAGAGGGGTGAAAGGCACTGATAATTACGAGCCAAAAATGACAGCCGAGATGACAAGTCGCGAGATCAGTGTAATACGCTTTAAGACGCAAAATCTCCAAACATAATCCATAAAGCGTGTATCAGATTTGCAGTTTACACTGTATATGGAAACACTGTGTGCGTCCCTAACTGTTAAGTCTGCATACATTCCCGTGTTGTTTCCACAAAAGAGCTCTTTGCAACACGGGCAAAGTTAAGCCATAACTGATAATACTCTTCTATGACCTTTATTTCTGCTGCCTTTGAAGAATCACGTGCTGAGGGAAATGCAAAGACACATTCTGAGCCATTTTCATTCTTCCTTTTATTCGCTTTTATTTCAAAATAACATTAAAACCTCTCTTTTTTGCCGCCTGTATATTGTGTCCTTAAATAGCACGACCACTCGGGAATATATTTGCATTCGAGGTTGTAACTTTTACGTAGGCTGTTGTATTTAAAAAAATGATACAACATACAGTAATATCGTACTACCCGATCTTTTGTGTAGCATGTTTGTTTTCCGTGCAAAAAAGGGCAAATCCTTCACACCCACCCCCAAAACATAACACGATAGTGATGATTACCACGATCCATGCCCAAAACCTACACAAACGTAGTAATTTACCATGCGCTGCCATTTCGCTCTGTGCCTCCACAATGCATGGCACAGATACACCCTACCGACTGTCAGTGACCGGCTTACACCCCGACGGATCTTAAATTCAGACACCGACAGCGATGGTTCCCCCACATTCAAATCAATTCTCGTGGTCACACCCCTACCTTTAAAAAACCACACACCTAAGATGGTACTGGTTTCCTGTAAGCCCCTAACAAAAATACGACCACACAGACACATACAAAAACCACAATAAGCACGATCTATGTACCAGAAAGATAACTTGCGACCCTGAACCTACACTGAACCATGCGTTTCGTCCTCAAAGTAACACTGGACGGACGGTTCTGTACCCGTGCAGCCCGGAGCGGACGAAGTGCACGGAGCATCTGCTTACGGACACGGCATGGTGCTGGATGCACATCCCGCAGCCCCTTATCTGTTTGCAACTTGAAATTAAATCATGGCGCGAATGGTAAGCAAACACATTGTCTTCACACCCCCCTTCAAATAAGAACAATCAAAGCAGATTGACAAGCCTGCGATCGCATAGTAACTTTGTATACCGTGGCACCGGTCCCGATCACAGCTGTAAGGAACTGGAGCAGCCCCCCCCCCCTTTCCCTACAGCCAGCTGATTCCGTGCAAAGCGTGTATCCACTTTAAAAATGAGAGCCCAGCTCCCTTGCTTACCTGTCTCATCGTCGGCCTGAAAGCAAGCCGGCATGTTCTTTTTCCAGCCAGGCATCTCCTTTGCAGTGTTTGCATTCAGGTATGTATTTCTAAAACATAAGCCCTTGGCGCATTCCAGCCTCGGCGCGCAGATCTCGGTTCCTACCGCCCCGGCTCCTCGTTTTTGTGGCCGGTGTAATTCAACGCCGCTTCTAGCTCAGCCTCGTTATGGAGTGAGGGAGCCACGGAGGACATGACAAAGGAGGGGAGGGCGACGGAGGGAAAGGAATTACGGCATGACGTGCGTGTAGTTGTCGGGGCACGTTTTTTTTCCTCCTTCTATCACTTATCTGAATTAACATCTTTTTCACTGGGAGAGCAGAATGCCTCGGAATAGCAGTCGTTTAGATATAAGTGATGGATCCCTGGATTGGGGATTGGTGCGCTCCGTTATGCGAGACAATACGTATGAGTCCATTCATCCAGCGTGATGGGAGGTGTGTCAGTCGATCGGAAACAAATTTAACCCAAACCAAGTTGTGTGTTTGATCTCTTAAGGACCTTAAGCTGCATATCGTGAACATTCAGTAGCAGGAGATTGTGAAGCGGGGAAGGAGGGGTTAATGTACATATCAGCAAATAAAATGCTAAAACAAATACATTTAGAACGGAAAACCAAAGTATTAAAATAAGTAGTAGCTGCAGTGCATGGGACGTCGATTTCTGCTCTTTCGTGCTGTTTTCTGGCTTCTCAAAACAATTTCATGTTACCATGTAAGTGACCTTATATGTTACGGTCACGGTCTCTATATAGCAATAACTCACTGTCACTGCGAGAAACAGTATTATTGTGGCCGGTGTTATTATGTGTAGTGTATTGCCACCGTGAAACCCTACAGGTTTATATAAATAAAACATCATTCTCAGTTGGGAAGAAGCTGGAGGTGAAGCTAACTGCAGACCTCACCAGCTGCCCATCTACCCCGCAACACTGTTGCCTTTACGTATGACCGCCGATTTATTTTTAACAGTACCGCGGTATAATGAGGACTTGGGGGTTTACGTCTGTACATCGTTGTGTCACCAGTACACGGGCCTGGTGAGCCAGGAGCCCCTCATTGCTGAGATAATGCAATTACATTCCACTGGCCGGGTAAAACCTGTGTTAAATTAGTAATGACCTCACCCATAGACATAATCTGTGTGTTACTGATGGTTTCATCAGGATTCAGTTACATCCATGTGTTAGAGATGGTAAGGAATCTGTTTCAGTAGTCCAGCTATAGTTTTTAGATTCTCTATTAATTCAATGCAAATGATGCCTGGTCATCGTGATGAAACATTAAGGGGTTATCGTAAAGGTTTGCCGGCTTGGAGAAGTTCTCATATGAGATGGGCGTCCATTGTTTTCGTGGCAGTTAACAGCCATTCAGACTGGTATCAATGAACTGTAAATGTCTGACAGCCACATACTCCCTCTGGAGTGTAAGGAATGTACGCACACAAACAATGGCCTCGTTAGCGATAGGTGCTGTGTTAGCAGTTGAGCTCTTCATGTTAGCCGAGCCTTGGATAGATGCATACGTGATACAAACACCTACAGTCTTCCTTACGATTTATTTAGCCATTAGTTGGCAACCCCCCCCCCCCCCCCAAGACACGGACCACGGGGACTTGGTGCAGGCACATTCACTGACTGCATGCATGGTTTGAAAGTCACATCTAGAGGTGTCAAAGATGAGGTACAGGAATGGTACAGGGCAGAATCAGTCCACGTTTGTGAAGAGGCAACACCAGGCTTGAAGATCTGACAGATGATGCTCCAGGTAGCTTCCATCTAGGAAGCACCTTCATAATCAATGATTAGAGGACCTCGACTACCCGTTCTTCAGTGAGGGCATGGAGTGTTCAGAGTTCAACATTTAGCTACGTTCAAAATAGCGTGTTGCTTTGTCGATTAGTGATCAAAAGATCCCTCGTTCAAATCCCATGGCTAGCAGAGGGATTTGACTGTTGGACCCTTAACCCCAGCTATCCATTGCTCCAGGGACAGGTTGACGCTGCTTTCTCAGTTGCACGTCGCTTTAGATAAAAGCACCTTCTAAATAAATAAATGAATTCGAGATCTTGACTGGTAGGTTTCGCCAAACTACCGGCCCCATTTTTTCCGAGTCCTACCAACTTCTAAATGTAAGTGTCAGTAAGCATTTCTCAGTATCAGGAACGCAAGACACTGACCGCAAAGCTCAAAATAAAGTTTTCTGAGCCAGAAGCAGGTTCAGCATTAAACTTTAGTCATTTCTGCCTCTGGCAGTGCCCTTCCAATAGATAACTTAGCTTGTCAGTCTTCCTAAAGTCAGTACAATCACAAACACACGGCAAAGGCCAGCTTTCGGCCAATTATTGTCAATCCTGATGGATATTAGTGCAGGTACAATGTTTCCTCAGTACCTGACTGCAATAAATCAGCTTTACTGCCCCTGTCACCTCAACACCTGAGGCGGTGAGAGTGGCCTCGTGTCAGAGAGTCTGCCTGGTGGTGTCTCCATTGCCCACTGGCAGTCATTACCGCATCTTTCATTGGATAATGTCAAACCGGAGCCATAATCGCATCTGATTTGAAATATGTCGTCTTGTTTTTAGTGTGCCAGTCACACGGTATAAAATCTTTCAGCGGTTTGCACAGGCTAGGATGACACTGACCGCGAGCTCGACTGGCTGCTGTTTTGACTGCCGTCAGTGTTGTGTTGAGTTTCTCTGGCTGTTAGTTGCCGGGGAAGCCACCGTCGCTGGATGGATACTGGCCCTGGGGGTGGGGGGGTGGGGGTGCCTGAGTGTGATGCTTGCCTCATCAGGGTGCCCCCACTACGGTGGAGAATCTCTAGAGAGCAGCATCTCCGTATACTACCAAGGTCTTTACGGAAAGGAACTAGATGTTTGGTGGCTTTAGTTTCTTCCAAGAATGCGTTGTTAGCTCAGCACTTTGCAGTCATAGAATACTACAGTCGTAAGGGATGGGAGGGGGGGGGGGTAGGGATCGATAAAATACTGCCGCCCACCCCCTGCCTCCATCAGAGAGGAAGTGAAGCCTCATGTGTTAGTGAGAAAACAGAGTGAGCTGCAGCAGTGATAGTGGGCACAAGAGACAGACGTGAACCATCTGTGTCTAAGGATTGGAAATGACATGCATAGTCATGGTGGCGATACTGGGTCTTGCCCAATCACAAACTGGAATTTACATTCTGCAACTGTTGTCAATTTTCTGTTTCCCCAGTTAACCATATTTTGAATGGTTTGATAACATAATATAAACCAAGATGACGATCAGTAAATAGCATAGCTACACTGCGTCGACTATACGACAAGTGGTAGAGGGATGTGTCCTTAGACTACATATTTAGGAAGAGATTTAAAGATTTGTCCTGTTAATAATTTAGTGATCCGAAGCATTGAGTGACAGACACAGAAGATCGATGTTCTGTGGATCTGTTCCTAAACTTGATCGGTAACCAGTTATTGTGTCCTAATGGGAATCCTCCCACTGTGTGTACGAGTGTTAACCCTTTGTTCATCATCATTGTCCTTCGCATCCAAATGAAACTGCATTAAGTTCACAGGCATTTAGATTTTCTGAAAAATTCTGCCTAAAGGTCTCACTTCTGAAATCTTTGCCAGGATACATTCCTCTTCAAATTTGCGCTGAAAATTTGCATGTAAGTTCTACATAAAATATGACTTTATAATCTCAATCAGTGACCAAGATGAATTCCACGCTGTGTTAAATCTATAAGTGTGTGCAGTACTCATTTTTGTGGTATTCTGTTAAAATATAGGACCTCCTCATCCATTTTCCTCCTCCTCCACTGGACCCATGGTGCTATAAAAAAGTGTAGATTACTAGAAATACATTTCCTGGAAATTGTGTGAAAATTCTATTTACTATGAATTGTCCTAATGCCAAGAAAATCAACACAAAGTCACATTTTTTTATTTATTAAGTATCAGACAACGTGTGTAATGAAATGAAGTTTGACATTCCTCTTTGATAGAGGTCTGCTGAAGACTTACATTGCTTTGCACTGACCTAATGGTTTGATTCTATTCATGGTTTAATTGTTCAACAGTCTGATCTTGACCTTGGTCTCTGGTGCTAATGGCCGTCAACCAACATAATAGCATCATGGAAACCGCACAGAAGCCAGAAGAAGCACGGAATTTTGTACTTTTATGCCTACGCACCTTTATGGTGACCTCACCTTTACAACTTTCAGATACTCCTGCTGAGGTCATGAGAACACAATCATTCTGCTTTTACTATAACAGGTCCTGAACGAAATCCAGGGTTTCAGCTGTTGATCTTTATGATTAAAATCTATTGCATTCGTTGTAATGAATACTAGTACTAGCCATCGCTGCTTAGACCACTAATAACCAGTGGCTGAATTTCAACGAGAACCTGGCCAAAAATGATGAATTTTTCCATTTACGTAATGAGAATTTCTTAAAGATCTACACATATTGTCACAATGAACTTGCTCAACTAATTTATTTAATATTAATTTATCTGATGCTTTTATCTAAAACAACTTGCAGTAGAGAGATGGGTTTTAATTTTTCTGACCTCCTTGGGATTTGAACCCACAACCTACCTGTTGTTAGCACACCACTGTATTTGTTGAGCTACAGGAGCTAACTGTTTTGTTATTGTTTACATAAATTCCTATGATCCTGCTCTAGATCAGTAGACATGGACGACACCCTGCAGCGGCTATGATGTTATTCACTAACTGCTTGTTTATTTTCTCTGAACAAAAATAGCTTACTCAAAACTGACGACAGGTCTCACCAGGTTCCCTAGCTCAGGGGAAACAGTAGATGATCTCAACTCTTTATTATACTCCTACATTAGTAAATAGTTTACTTTTCTTATTGCTTGTATTCTGTATATTCAGCTATTGAATGCAGACTGATATTTCTTTTGTCTTTGTTGTCTCTCACATTCAGCACGAAGCGGGCACTCTGTGTGTGTGTGTGTGTGTGTGTGTGTGTGTGTGTCTCTGGGATCATAAGGCTTGTTCACACGTCTGTGAGCCTACAGCTGTTAGTCACTTCCTATACACAGGGAGGTCGGTGCTTCCTTATTTTTGTCTCCTGTTGGGACACAAGAGAATATGTTTATATAAAATTGTTTGTGATTAACATCTAAACAAATGACAAGGACTGCCCTCATCATATGGCATGCAGCCGCCTAAGCACAGCTTTTTAAATACATACTTGCTTACAAAATTAAAGAGGCCATGTACCATGAGTGTAACACGACCTCTCTGGAGTGAAATGTCTTGTTTTTTTAAATAATCCCAAAACTAAAATGATTAGTTAGTTTAAATGGTTGATATCAACTGTGTCCATAGAATCTCCTGCCTAAGTTTTGCTATAGTTAGGCCTA